TCTGAAAGGGCACAAGGTTTGTTTGTTAACAAATTAATTAGGTTTTATTGTGGTTGCTTTCTTTTTCCCCGTAGCTTTTACTTTGCAAGTTTTGCTTCATCAGGAGCAATCAATATGCCCAGACAATCATTTACTTCTGCTTCTAGCTCTAGCCAACTTCTGCCTGGTACCAGTTAGTGGTTATTACACTTCAGCTGTCTAAAGCAGAACCGCCAATTGCTGATTATTGATTTCTCACTTCCACTACACTTCTTGGTGAAATGTAACTGCAGGAAAAAAACAAGTACAATGACCCCAGTCTGCCCTAATATATATATCTTTTTTTTAAGCTGGAACAATGTTATTTTTCTTTCTATATATATATAGAAAGAAAAATAACCTTGTTCTGTCTTTAAAAAGATTGTTCCAGTCTGACAATAAAGTGGAGTCTTGTAGGTTAATGGTGAGAGCGCTCACCTCACAAGAGAGAGCATCTGGGTTTGATTCCCAGTCAGGACAAAACGTTGGGCAAGTTTCCTTACTCCACACTCCACACGTCTCTGTTTACCAAGCAGTAAGTAGGAACTCGGTTGTTAGTCAATTGGTGGATCGTTTTTCCGGGGGTAATAATTCCTTCAAAATAAATAAAAATAATTTGGCCACGACGGTTTGTTGGACGCTACCGTGCGCAATTGGCTGCCGCGTTTCGCCCACAAAATATGCAGTCAATTCACTTTACAGTATATTCTATGAAGCGCTTTGAGACGTCTCGAAGATGTGATAAGGCGCTATATCAAATGCAAAGATTATTATTATGAAATACAGTTCCTATCATTTTATCAAATTATAAATTGTGAAGGAAAAAAGCCATTCTCAATGCAAAAAAAGGGCAAATGTTGTTTGTGGCTAATCTTTCCCTATCTTACTGAACTGCACCTGGTATGGTGCAGCTTGACATGCTGTGGTGTGACATATTGCATTGGAGGGAAAGGGCAATTAGAACTTAAAAGATGGAAATGGCTCAAATTGTAAACTTCCGTACCTACCTCACTAAGAGCAGGGAATTAGAAACCATCAGGAATATTTAGTTCTCGTCGATGAGCTAGCATCATTTTATGTTCCTTGGGTCGAATGGTCTCCTCCTATGCTGCATTTTCTATTAATGGGGAAAAATTGTTTCTTGGCTTTCAGCAGAAGCTTAAATGAAAAGGCTTTTACCTCCCGCTAACTCAAACAAATTCCATTCTAAATATAAAATAGTAGTTTCTGCAATTTCACCATCATAATTTGCAAAAAAGGCACAAAGTACCCAGATCCTTGCTGGCATCACAGCAGCTGCACGGAGAATAAAGCAAGTCACTACTTTTGAAAGATTGTTGTAATGATTAGGTTTGGGGAGAAATGGTACCCACAGACTCCTTACACAACGTGAAGATATTGGCAAGTACTCTGTGTGCCGTCACTTAGCAAAATGACAGCCAAAATCGACTTGGATGGATGACGCCTTGTGAATTTTTTTCTTAATTTGAAATGTAAATCAGGAAATAGACCTAACTGTAAACTTAATAATAATAATCCTTGCATTTGATATAGCGCTGTTCACGTCTTCTAGACCTCTCACAGCGCTTAACAGAGTATACTGCTAAGTGAACTGACTATATATTTATGGACGAAATGCAGCAGCCAATTACACACAGCAGTGTCCCACAAACAGTCATGGAGTGAGTGTCCAAATTATAATTTTTTTTAAGGATTATTATTCCCAGAAAAGTGATCCGCCAATCAAATAATAACAAACTATAAATACTAAAGTTATAGGGCATGGAATTGGCTCAAAATGAAGAGGAGATAAATTCAACAAATATATATATATATATATAATAATCCTTGCATTTGATACAGCACTTTTCATGTCTTCTCAACATCTCAAAGCGCTTCACAGAATAGACTGTAAAGTGAATTGACCGTATATTTGTGGGCGAAACACGGCAGCCAATTGCGCACAGCAGCGTCCCACAAACAGTCTTGGATTGAAAATGACCAATTTATTATTGTTTTGTTTTTGTTTTGGAGGAATTATTATTAGGGGTGTGGAGTAAGGAAACGTGCCCAAGGTTTTGCCCTGCCTGGAATTGAACCCAGGTGTCTCGCTTGCAAGGCGAGTGCTCTAACCACTGAGCTGCAGGAACTCAATAAATAAATCAAAAACAAAGTCTTAACCTAGAATTTGATGTTGAAAAAGAAATGTTGGTATATGGTTGCACACATTTGATGTTGAATCATTCAGTTGCACATTGATTTAATGACAAATTAAAGGCTTTTTCTGTGCACCTATATTCACATGAATTGCCTTAGTAGCACAATTGAGCGCATCTGGAAAATATATAATCTCTCGGGGGGGGGTGGAACTTCACTGAAAATTTAACGGTAAGCACAGTTGTAATTCTACATAGCAGAATATTTTTTCTTCATTACTGATCTTTGTTTTAAAATCAACATCAAACTCTGCAAGTTCTGTTCGATTGCGTGCAAATGATTGTTTTTGTACTGATAAAGCAGGTAATTGCCATTTTCAACATGTCTATTCATATACGCTTCAAGAATGTTCGGTCTGCTGATTCTTCTGGGCTTTTGGTAGTTTCTACTCCGTATTATCATATTTATAGTCAAGCTCCAACTTCCCTTTATAATAATAACAATCCTTGCAGCTGATATAGTGCCTTATCGTCGGTGAGACGTCTCAAAGCGCTTCACACAATATATAGTAAAGTGAATTGATTGACTGTGGATTTGTGGGCGAAATGCGGCAGCCAATTGCGCACAGCAGTGTCCCACAAAATGTCGTGGATTGAGTGACCAATTTTTTTTTGGTGGGGGTGTGTGATGGGGAGGTATTATTAACCCCAAACAACGATCAAACAATCAACAACGCTCCTACTTACTGTTGGTAAACAGAGGCATGTGGACTAAAGAAACTTGCCTAAGATTTCCTTTGCTTCCAATATAGTATATCATACACCATGTCATGCTGCATCATACCAGGTACAGACCACTATGATTATTAGCCTATTGCAAAATGCACAGACGTAATGGGCTTTATACACTTGGGCTTCTCTTTGCAACGTTATCTCAGTGACATTGATCGTCTAATGATTCCTAAAGCTGAAATTACAAATCCTTTACAACAGATTGAGAATTTAAAAAAATGACATTAGAAAAAATTATAAATAGAAATTAAACTTGCTTTTCATTATCTGCACTACTAACCTCATGAGCAGCTCATTGCAAGTCCATTTAATGCTTCAAGCTGCTTTTTCGGTATTAAATTTTATGAATTGTGGGCAGAAACATTTAACAAGAATTTCTGACTAATCCAATGTTTGCTAATAATCCGACAAATTTAGCATCCAATTTCTTTAATGGGCCTACTGAGTGACAAACCAAAGAGAAATTGCTCATTTTATCACTTCAAAAACCTACAGAACTAACCAAAAGAACCTGCTTGGCTCCCATTAGCACCTCCTCATCTCAGGCTCTAACAACATCACTATTGATGGATGCACTGTCCACTTCATTTGGTGTCTGCCCTACTTTATCCAGATTTATCTGGACAAAAAAGGACTCCAGATTCCTACTTTATCATTTCACCTGTGAGATCAGGTCACACATTGCATTGGTAGCATTAGCCTGTGCAGTCACCTACCATGACACAATCATAGTTTTTTTTTTGACATAACAATAAAACTGTTAGTGATGGAAAATGAAGAACAATTTTGTACATATAACAATAAAGGGATGCAATGCAACCTTATCCCAAAATCTCTCATTTGTTTGGAATTTGTATTTGTATCATAGTACAACATTCAGACAGACAATGAAAAATCCAAGATAGGACATACTATCCTTACTGCACCTACAAAGGCAGGCAAAACACAGTGCAAAGCATACAGCATAGTATAAAATCTGCCCTAAGTTGTAAGATCCATCTCCACGTTTCCTAGCCATCTTGAAAAATACTTTGCAGCAGTAATTTGTAGTTTGCTCTGAGCAAATACAAGGAGCTGTGACTTAAAAAAAATTAATTTTGAAGACATGTGAAAAACCATAGCCACAGATGAAGATATTTCAATTTCTAAATATACCGAGTAGAACTTCTAACTGGTTCAAAGCTTTTCCACCGTTCTATTTGGATTTACTGGTTTAAATACCCAGTCTTCTTTTGTGAATACCATCATTATTGAGTGAATTAGAGAAAGCAGCATGTTCTTCTTTGCAATAAAAGTGAGATTCGCATCGCACTAGTTACTAGATTCAGAAAGTCTATTCTGCTCCAAAGATTTGGAGTCAAGATAAGAATTGCCTATTTTACACTTTAATCACGACCAGCAAAAAATCAATTTCTGACTTCAAAGGAGTTAGAAAGAAGCACAAATAAGCTCAGGCTTTCAAACTACTCATCTCCAACACCAACATTCAGCTCCACAAAATAGTTTTGTAATTTTAATTTAGCTGCAGTAAGATCTCGATGGTTTATCTAAACCCTGTCAGTAGCTTTTGCTAAATAAATCTTTGAAATATGAACATAATGAGCAACTGCACAAATTAAATCATGTGTGACCCACATAACACTGTGGCTGCAACACAAATGAAGAGCACTTTGGCAAGTCATAAATCATCTCTTACACTGTGGGACAGTGAAGAGACTTGGCAAAAAATAATAGATAAGAGCAAAATCAAAGTAGGTCACAAATATCTTGGTGGAGCTTCGAAAATAATGATCCTCACTGTATATTGTTGTGATATACGGCAAGAGTTCACAGAAAACAACACTGGCGCTTCAAACATATATTAAAACCCACTGTGCAATTACTGATCAAGTCTGAAAATAAACAAAGGAAATGATCCAGAAATTCAAGTTAATGAGATTGTGTGTGCAGACAGAAATTGGCACTTCTGTATAATTTACAATTTTGTTGATCAAAATCTGCAATATAAGAAATGTCAGAAAATATTGGGTTTACCTGTTACATCTCTTGACTGTCTTGTCCTGCCACCACCAGAGTCTAACAGCATTGTTTAGACAGGGACCTGCAATAGTTTCATGGAATATAGTATCTCGTAAATATTCATCAGTAATGATTAAAAAAATAGAGATCGTTCCTGCATATTACTCAGTTGTGTACAAACGTCTGACCACATAATGCAGATAGTGAACGGTAGCAGGAAAGGGAAAACATGAGAGCGATGGGGAGGACAGGGGTGGAGGAAAGGACCATTAATGGCATTGAAAGCAGCAACAGCCTCTGAAAACACACGAGGCAGAGAGAGTGTTACTGCTGCCAAAAACTCCAGAATCCCCTCTGTCATCCAGAGACTGCAATAGCTGGACAACAATTCGCTTAACAAAATTGGCCATCAATTCATGGCTGTCTCTGGGCAATGCTGTGTGCAAATTGGCGGCTACGTCTGCCTATGAATACATAGGCTGTTGCTTCACTATATAATCCTGTGAGGTGCTTTGAGACATCCTCTTGACATGAAAGACACTTACCACATGTGCAGGTTGTCATTATTGGGATTAACAATCATTTGTGTATGTCACTTAGCAAGCTCCGCTGTGCAGTTGGGACACCAAGCAGCAGAATACCTCAGGGGCGTTACGGTCACTGGCTGGTATTAATCTGCAAACTATTCACCAGCTGATTGAGCAATTGTAAGGAGATGTTATTCGAACTTTCTCATCTTGTGTAGGTGTAGAAGCTGTGAACAAGTGACTCTTGTTCAGGTAAGTTGAAAATCGGCCGGTCATTCAGCGTTTTCATTGTGAATCTGATGACCGTATCTACCTCTCTATGGGGGGGGTATGTCCTCCCGACGTGAAAGGTGCTATATATAAATACAATTAGTTGTTGTTGTTGGGAGGAGGGAGGGAAGCTTCTTCTAAACACCAGGCTTGCTATAGGCTGATTAAATTGTTCCTGTGTAAATCCCTACTTATGCAGTCACAATAGAGGTAACTATCTTGATTATGTGATCATGCCTATCAGCATTTTGAAGATCTGAATCATGTCCATCCCAATCGTCTTTTGTCCAGTGCAAATATGTTCAGTTTTCTTGGTGTCTGGAGATATTACAATTCTGCTACCAGGAAAGACATAATTGTCAGAGTTTTTAAAGCCAAAAATCCAATCCAATTCCATCTGGAGAACAAACGTTCTAAATGTGTGAATGGCGAGATCTAACACCGGTAGCTCTACGTTCTAATCACAAATGTTCCTTTGAAGAAGTGACCATCTGAATCTACTTCCATAGTTTTCATGTTTTCAAAACGAAATCAGACTTGTTAAAGCAAACACTAACCTTGCTGTCGGGGCAATAGCAGTGGGACTCAATACAGTCTCCTCATGCCATCCACGCTGCTGTCCAAAGTTCATTTCAATTGCTCTTTGCTTGTCTCCAGATGACACATCAGAGGACAGATCAGGCTGCTGCTCATCAGAATGATTGACGGTTTCTTGATTCTGCACCGTGGTTTCTATTTGTTCACCCAATCTGCAACATAAAAATATTATAGCATGATCTTGCCCTGGAAACCGAAAGTCAAGCCTCAGATCCAGACCCGCCGTCAATCTCTTTGAGACAGGTATAATTTATGCTTTGGGTCACAATAATATGTCAAAAAAGAAAAAGAGAATGATGGTGGCAGTACAGCAGAAGTGTTTCCCTGGCAACAAGACATCAGATAGGTCAATTCTTTTGTGCTGCTGCTAGGATCAGTTTCCCACGGGCTATCAGTTTTTCCTTGAGTTAGTAGGGCAGTGGTGAAATGATGATAGTAAAATCCGAAGACAGATTAAGACATGATAAGAGATGGGGCGGGGCGGGGGGAGGGAGCGGTGCGCGTGTGGGGGAAAGAAATGTCCTGCCCAATGGATGTACAAAGGAACTTAAAAAGTGACTTTCATCAAAAGAGAATAGAATGTTGTTCAAATTATAATAATAATAATCGTTGCATTTGATATAGCGCTTTTCACGTCGGGAGGACGTCCCAAAGCGCTCCACAGAATATACTGTAAAGTGAATTGACAGTATATTTGTGGGCGAACGAGGCAGCCAATTGCGCACAGGAGTGTCCCACAAACAGTCGTAGATTGAAAATGACCAATTTTATTATTGTTTTTTGTTTTTTTGGAGGGATTATTATTGAACGGAATTGAGCGGATTGAACGGAAAACCAGAATAATACATGTCGCTCCACACGTCCAACTTTCTGCAACATCTCTGCACAGCTTTTTGCTCAAGCACCCCCAGCCAAAACAAACCAACAAATGCTGGTTTCATATTTTGAGCAAACACGTTGCAATAAACATCAGCACAATTTCTTGTCAGGATTCCAACAAATATTATCTTGCTGTAAAGCAATGAATAATTCAGCAGCTCTAAACCATTTTACATCAGTGATTATATTAGGATGATGAGGTCTTAGGAAAGAGAAACTTAATGAGATATGGCTGCAATATAAGACATATAATGCTGTACTGACTCCATCTCTAAATAAATTACCACCAATTTCACATTGAATTGGTCCAAGACTTTCTACACCTGTTTCCTTCGCCTTTTTTTTCCATCTCAGTCGTGCACTTTAATATGTTGTTTTCCTATTGCATCGTTCAAAATCCTTACTTGCTTTCAACATGTAGGAAAACAGAAGGATCAATAAATAATTCGAATCTCATCATCAACAGTATTGTTAATGCTACACTTCTCGTGCTGTTACTTAACTGATTTTACATTAGGTTGCCATGTAAGGATTTTATATCCAGATTCCACAGAGAACAATCCAATAAAATGAATCAGCCAGTGGCAGAGGGTAAGTGGCATGAACTCGTCACCTTCCCCCAAGTTCTCGCAAGGAGTTCAGCGAAGAAATGTTTTCCAAACCATACTTTAGTGGCTATGTGGAGAATCAGCGTCATAACACTTCAGAGACATACTACAGTATTTTACCACTTCAACAACATAGTCAACCAATCTTAATCCCTAATCCCTGACTGTTCAGCGTCTTGAGATTTCCTCCCGACATGAATAGCGCTTTATAAATTTATTTTTGTAATGTATTGGGCTTATTCCAATGGGTTTATTTCAGGTGCGACCCAGTAGTCATATTACTATGGTGTGTATCTTATGAATGAAATGAACTCAGCAATTTGCCGAATCTCAAGTTGCTAATCTTTTATTTTTGGACGCTTCACGTTTATATTGTTTAGGTGTTTCAAGTTTATTTTCCCCAAAGAGATTTTAAAAAGTCCGAACGTTTTAAATCAATACGTTTTATTTGTTTCTATCGAGAGCACAAGCCATTTCCATAATTACTTTCTTACACAAGCTATACAATTTAGTTTTCATTGATCTGAAATCAGAGCCAATGTGGGGGAAATATGAAACGAAAATATGCAAATATGTAAACAATATGGAAAGTCAGATCAATCCTTATTACATAATCAACAAACGGCCTCACTCCCAGCAATGAACTCACAATATTTTGTTAGTAGTTCATCAATTGCTTTCGTTTTTGTTCTGCAACAATATGTTCAATTTCTAACAAATGTGTTTTTAATTTATTTCTGAGAGTCTTTTTATTGCTGTTCATTTTCATACAGATGATCATCATTGCGAGATGAGGTAAATACTAAGCTCTATAAAGCACTGCTGGCTTCCTATATAACCTGACCATTAAGTTGTAACATTTAACAATAAAGTCTGACAAGGCTAGATTTAATGGCTAATATTTCATATTGTTTCTGATCATCATCATATGCACAGTACAACCTAATTTGCATTAAAAAGCAATGCCTTGTGAAGATACTTTAAAGAAGTTAGATCGTGCATCAAAGTCAATCTGAATATTATAATATTCTGAAAGATTTTTTTCCCAGATCCTAGCATAATATTTTTGTGGGATGAGGTTGAACCAAATCTGGTTTCTTTATGCTTGTTAAACGATACAGGTAGGAATGCATGGAAATCTCAGCTTGGTTTGGATACTCTTATGCACGATGATGTGTTTTCGCATGTGTCAGACACCCGGCTGACCGAACAAATAAAATCATAAAAAGGTCTGCAATCGAATTGTCATTGTTGTGCTTTGGAGGATCAAGTCTAACCCCACAGGCGTGACTAACTGAATGACCAGATCTCTCGCATGTCGTCACAAAGAGAAGTCACAAAGAGAACAATGCAAGTTATTCAATCATTTCAATAACTTGTTGGGCGCCTTAGAAATTGAGTCAGAGACGTGCAGCAGAGAACTGGGATTTGAGTTATTGGCCAATGTGTTAAGTCTGCTCATGTCCTCAATTAATGGCATTTTAATGTGTCTTCCTGGAGGTTGGAGATTCCTGGGTTTGATCCAATGCCATTTACAAGTTGGCAATTTAGCTGTGAGATTACACAAGTCCCTAAAGCATTTGAAACATTTGCAAAACCATATTAAATGCGGAGTGAAAACACATCCAGTGTTGCATTTCACTGGAAATGACCTCTGATACGCATTAATAAGTTCGCCTGACAATAGCAAAACATTGAAAGTGGATCTGAACATAGCTATATCAACCCCCTCCCCCACCCACTAACTGTCCCAAAATTGACTACTACTGATGATTTTGTGTCATGTAAACCTGCCTCCACCTTCGATTTCTAAGCAAAAAGTAAAATTGCATGTGTCATGTGTAAACGCCTAGTGAATTGCCAATAATCTGAAACCGATTGCTCTGAAGTTAGTAGTCAATTGCTATGGATTAGCAGGGAAGAAAAAACAAATTCTATGTTTTCCATTTCAAGTGGAATAGATATTTGTTAGGTCAGGGTATCAAGAGATATGGGACAAGGGCAGGTCATTGGAGTTGAGGTACAGATCAGCCATGGTCTGATAGAATAATGGAACAGGCTCGAGGCGCTGAATGGCCTACTCCTGTTTCTATGTTTCAATTAAGTTCAGGGAAGCGCATTGCACAAAGGAAGTGATGTGACTCGATTGCACATTTCTGGTGTCACACAGTAGAGTGAGGGTGCGGTCAAAGATGTCCTTTCAGTCAACAATGCTTGAACCTCAATTATAACTGGGAATTAGTTCTGTGCCGAAGGCTACCTGTTGTTATTAAAATCAAAGAAATACAATACCAAAAAGGCATGTCAATATCTCTGATGGCCTTAAACCAACCAAAAATTGGTTTTGCCCACAAAACATAGTCAATTCACTTTACAGTATATGCTGTGAAGCGCTTTGAGACGTCTCGAAGATGTGGTAAGGCCCTTTATCAAATGCAAGATTTTTTTATTATTATTATAAAAATGTAATAAACAAAAATGCAGTAGAATTACTCTCAATTTAAACTTTTTTTTCCCCCTGGGCTGGGAGAACAAACAAAGCCCAAATTGTAAAAACTGCCTAATATGCAGCAGTTTAAAATGCAATATTCAAATTGCAACGCAAACATTGAAGAATTATAACATAATTGGCCAGTCCACATTAACTTTACCTATTCTCATTAAAATTCAATAAGTTTATTCTTGAATTTTATTAATAAATAGTCACTACACGTTTTACAGTATATTCTGTGAAGCGTTTTGAGACATCTCAAAGACGTGATAAGGCGCTGTATCAAATGCAAGGCTTCCTGTTCTATATCTTAGCATTCAGTGCAAGGGGGCAGGTGGGCTCCAGTAACACCCAGGTCACTTACTTGCTTGCTCCTCACTCAGCTTCTCTACTCATTCCTTTTACACACTCACTGGTCACTCATTTGGGCATGAAACACAGTCCGAATGAAAGCCATTGGGGGGTCATTACACACCGGGTTCCCAAGAGCAAAGAACTGACCGACTGACTCCGGCCCCTTCACCTCGTTTCCCAACCGGGAGACGCAATCACTAACTAAGCTGACCCAGCTGGGTGTGTAATGCTTCTCCTTGTGATGTGTCGCTCAGCAAAGGCTGGCAACATCCACTTGTTACTCCAGTCCTACCTCTGTAATGTTGCTCTGTTATGTGGCTCTGAAAACTAATTCAGCTGCACACGCTTTCAACGCACTTCACAGCCTTTTTTTTAATACCTCATCACAGAATTCACTGCAGAAAAGTGTTTGCTCAATGGGAACATGTTCCTGGGAAGGGGATGTGTTCTCGTGGCTGGAACATGAGTAGCCAAAGGCACTCAAAAGCAGGTACAGTGAGTAGTCAGCAAGTTGTCAGGTTTGGTATATTAGGGTTTCGTCCCAAGCAAAATACTGTACACCTCCCATCACCTCCCATCTATCCCCCGGTTATGTTTACCTGACTCCCAACTCTGAAGATGAAGTGTAATGACAATCTGCTTCTATAAAATGGTATGCTAGGCAAGTGGATGGAGAGGGTGACCCAAAAAGTCGTGCTATCTACCCTATTATCTAAAAAAATTCATCATTTCTTTAAGACTTATCAGACATTGTAATGGTATCACGATTTTTTGGTCACCCTGTAATCCTTGTGTTTGTCATAGCACTTTATCA